GTATTTGTGATTAATCAAACTACAACCCTGCAGCTCGGACTTTCCACACAACACACGCCCACCCTCGTCGTTTTCAACATCCAAAAACTAGTTGTAGCCTATTTTAAAAAGAAACTGCCGAAGTTGAATAACGAAAATGAGAGACAGTTATGAATGAGAACACGGTGACCCTAAAGGCCCCCAACGCCGAACGCGGATGACAACCGGCAGACCTCCGTAACAGCCACAAGTCACTAACACTCGTTTGAAAAAATAAAGAGTCCCACAATTCCACGGTTCAAGTTAAAACAAAACTCGTGCTTTATTACAGTTGTCGATAACGCCGATCGTTGCCTCATGGTGTCAGTAATTAGTCGTCAATAGTGAGATGACCGAGTCCTTCTTCTCCTTTCTCCAACCTCCGTTTTATATAAAATAGATTTGGGAGAAGCGCCATTTTCTCTCCAAACCATGCGCAATGAGACGCTCAAGAAAGCCCGTTGGAGGAGTGCCATTTAAAAGAAAGGGGGAGAGAGGGAGCGCGAGAGAGGGGGAGAGAAAGGGGGAGGTTAGACGGTATCGGGGAAAAGCGAGCAGGGCTGGAAAAAGGTCCGTAAAACGCAACGAATGACAAGCAGCGGCAGCACGGTGGACACACACACAATACACACACAACACTGTAACCACATACAGTAGAAACAAACTGGAGGCGCACCATACCGGAAAAAAGCAACGAAGAAGAGCATGGAAAAACGGCGATCATTGTCATACCTGTGTCAAGCAGTAAGGGGAGTACATGGTTGTGTCTAGAGATGAAAGTTGGAGTAGTTGATAATTAAGTTGGATGGAGGTTCGCTATGGTGCCGCATTGCAAAGCCGCTGTGGCTCAGTCCAGGCTGTAACCCCGCCTCACTCACAGTGAAAGCTCCGCACTAACTTTAGGGGAAAGTTTCTGCAGCTCTCTCTCCCTCCCTCCCTCCCTCCCTCCCTCCTTCTTTCTCTCTCGCTCTCGCTCTCTCTCTCCCCCTCTACGCTTCTCTTTAGGAATCCGCACAAGCCTACAGTATTTAAAATGTTCATCGACTTTGAACGTTTTTTAAAAACCAGAATCAGCGCGTCGCTAAAACTCCAGAGAGGAATCGCATGAGACACGCTAACCCTGCAGTGCTGTAGGGCTTTAGTGCGCATGTGGGCTCAGTGGTGAGTTCAGTCTCATCGTGTTTCATTGAATACAAATAAAAAAGACCTATAGAATATCTAATATCTCTGTAGTATTTACACCTGGAGCTACAGTTCTGTTGCGGTATCCCTAACAATGTTTATATTTTTCATAGGTTTTTTTTTGTTGTTGAGGGATTTGTGTACTTTTCCTCCCGTGCAACACACATTCAGTCATACTGTTGCCGCGTTTTTACTTAAGCTGGTGTTGGTAATAATAAAATAAAAATATTCAGATTCTATCTTTCCTTCAATGCCAGAACATAAAGATAGATAGATAGATAGAACAAATCTAAGTTTAGAACAAATAAACCAAGACCTAGTTTTTTGCCAAACAATTAACATCTTTGTTATTTACAAAGGTCTACTTATCTTATTGATAAAAATACTATTTATTTTCTTGTGTTTTTACAATAACATTCCATATACCTTGCTATATTCTTATGCTGAAATATATATGTGGCTTTGCAGTATAAATCTGACTTTAAAAGTACTGAGTAAAGAGTAAATACAGATGATTGAGGAGGCAGATTTCCTAAATGTAATCTATTTTCAACACTCGGATCCTTCGCTGTTGCACATAGTAAAAACAGAAGCAATGGTTTAAAGTTTACAACTCAGATTTGACTGTGATATTCTCTCAGCCCGTCAGCTGGAGATGGTGACACAAAGCTTTCCCCACATTGTAAACTAATTCAAGTGTCTCAAGTAGAGGCCCCATATTCTTAACTTGAGTCTTTGTTACTGTAATTTAAAAGTGTGCGATGGACAATGTGGCTGAGGGAGCTCAAAGGTTTGCCAAACATATTTGTGTTTCATTAATTTTTACAAGGTGTGACGGCTGGATTTGATGCCCAACTCTGTCAGCTTCCTTTTGTACGGTCGGTCATTGCTGCAGTTTACGGTGAGAAACTCCTAGTCGGAAAATCATGTGAAGGAACATTTAAATATACTTGTAATATACCTTTCTAGGGACGTACTTGAATGGTCTCAAGAAACTATAAGTCCAAAGTCATTACAGAAAGCTTTGTAATTTATTCAGCAGTGATACCCCTCGCATTCCTGTTTTTCTTCTTTTTCTAACGCTGTCCAAGTCATATTCTATAGTGCACTGTATATGTATATGGAAACAAAAGATACCTGAACTAGGACAAAGTGGTCTAAACCAGTTTCATTGTGAGCCCTATTGTATGGAAGCGATACACTCTGTTTCTAATCAGGCTTGGCTTTATCCTTGCCCGCTCCCTGCTCCTCAGCCTAATCAAACTCATATATGCAGGCAGAGTGCCGGCAATTATACATAAGCCCCTGCCTTGTGCATGTGTGTGAGTGTAGTGTTTGGAAATGTGTGTGTGCGTCTATGTGTGAATACAATTCTGCATTTGCGCATGGCTGTGTGTCTTACACAACGTGTGTGTGTGTGTGTGTGTGTGTGTGTGTGTGTGTGTGTGTGTGTGTGTGTGTGTGTGTGTGTGTGTGTGTGTGTGTGTGTGTGTGTGTGTGTGTGTGTGCAATGCAAGGGTGCGGTTTCGGGGGGTTGAAGTCACCCCCGCACTCGAATGCCAAGTTTTTCAGGGGGATATGAAGCTGTGCAACTTTACGAGACCTCAGCCTATGTAGGATACTTAGCCACACACACCACAGACACACATGCATATAATGTACGTTATATACACACATACGAGTACACACTCGTATATGCACACAACCACAAATGTCTTGTGGTCAAAGATACGCTGGCACAAGCAACTAGAAACTGAATAAGAATGAGAAAAAGAAAAAAAAGACTAAATAAAAGTGGACGAAAGTGAAGCATATTGAGGTGTAGTCTATCCCTTTCCCATGGACTCTCCTCTTTCCAAACCACACCCCAACACGGCACAGGCCCAAACCCCAAAGTCTTTGTGTGCTCCCTCGCTTTCCCTCTTTTCTCTTTCTGTCCACCCCATTTTGTCTTTTTTCCTGGTTCTTTTTAGTGACCCTTTTAATTTCTTATAATCTTTTGCTGTTACCTCTCTCTTTTTGCTCTCTTAATCACACATACACACACACACACACACACACGCACACACACGCACACACACGCACACACACACACACACACACACACACACACACACACACACACACTGTCCCTTTCGTCTGACTGACTTTGGTGGCCGTCTTTGTCTCTGGCTGCAGTCTGGACCCAGACATCCATCTCAGTATTCAACAGGCATCTTGGCTGTAACAAACAAACTATAGCAACCACAGAAGTTACAAAACACTGACGCTTAGGTTTTCTTTCCAAACTCTCTCTCTCTCTCTCTCTCCCTCTCTGCCTGTGATCAAACAGCCCTGTCCGGCCATCACCTTTCAAAGCCCCTAAAGCCACAGGGCTCTAGTGGTTTCTGAGACTACGTTTGCCATTAAAAAGCACACGAGAAAACCATATGGTGTGTCTAAAGTTAGCATGTTGTGGTCTCCCATTGACACACAGCACTACCCAAATACTTGCTGTTTACCATTGCCTGTGGCTAGGCCATTAAATATTGAAAGTGATGTAGCATACTGATACTACCATTAGTATGCTAAATGTGTGAGACAGGTGGTTGAGGCTGCCTTTCAAAAGGCAGGAAATATGTGAACGGAAAATGTGTGTAACTGTAGCGTTTACTACGCCGTACAGTGTAAATATTGTTTGAGTAAGCTGTGTATGTGTGCTCTGGGAGGGAGCATGCCAGTCAAATGCATACAGGCATATGCAGTCAGAGAGAAATGGCTGACTGGCCGTTATGGCTAACAAGCATATCATACACAGTGAGGATCCCAGAGACTCTTTGGATCTGTTCGCAATCTGAGTGTGTGTGCAGAGCAATGTGTGATGCCTGCTGTTTTGTTATGTGTTTACTGTGTGCAATAGCTGCATATACGTTTTCCTCCGACTGGTTTGGATTACCGCATTGACTTTGTTTGTTTTCAACAGGAAGAAAACGCACAGATTTATTTTTCTTGTCTGTTGTCATCATTTCTTAATTTAAACAGTATACTCAACATGTCAGATAAGAGCCCACAGGGCAAAGCGACAGGATTCCATGCGATCAAACTAAGACCATGAGCGTTTTATTACAAAAATGTATATGAAAAAGAACACATGCTGAACACGTGACACACAGAAAGCAAAAAATCTCATGTAGGCCTATGCCGTTTTTAAAGTTTTAAATGTTATGTTGTGCTATGCTGCTTGCTTTGTCCTCCAAGCGAGGATCGTTTGTCTGCACTCGGCAACAAAGCAAAACTACAGCAAAGCATCAATTAAAACTTGTAAAATACATGTCATAGAAAAGTTGACATTTTCAGGGAATACAGTGTTTTTGCAGGGCACTGTTGCCACCCGTCAGCACAGTCGACAGATGAGTTCAGGACGTACATGATGACATGTGGGAGATTTTACAGGAAATGGATATATGAAAATACTAACGGGCACACCGTCAACACGAGACATAAACTCCACACTAGCTCTAATGCAAGATTTAACAATGATACAATGACAATGATAAAGTGGTTAACGTGGTTAAGTCTGGCTATAGAAATATTCTCAAACAATGCACTGATGCATCTTTCGAACTCTTTAACTCCTTTCAACTGCTGTAAATCTTTAGAAAAGAAAATAATTTTTTTTTATGTCTATGGGCTGTGTGGCTTGTTTGTGTGTCTAGAAAATAAATGTTTGGACAGCAACATGACAGGGATAGTTAGATAGTGTGTGTGTGTGTGTGTGTGTGTGTGTGTGTGTGTGTGTGTGTGTGTGTGTGTGTATTTACCCTATATGTATCAGACACGAGGAAACATTCAGGCATCCCAGGGCCTCTAGAAGGATCGTCGTTCACCAGGTAGGTGTCAGTAGCCTGAAAAAAAGAGAAGACGGTTATTCAATTAAACTTATCATTTTAGTAGAATAGGGATTTTTTTTCATAATATCAAAAACTCTGTAAGTAAAGAATTCTCTAGCATTAACTAATTAAGTGACAGCTTGAACCTATTGCTTTGTATGAGTTTACAGGAGGAAATATACATGAGCATTACAATATAATAAAATTAAACTGATTTGAACTTTATATCCGAAATGCATTGGTTTTAAACATACTTTTCAAGCCCATACTGACCCTCAGAAATAATGCATGTATTTATTCAAATCCAGGGGGACATTTAAAGTGACCCTATGGTGTCCTGAAATCATTTAAAATTGTGAGACAACCCTAAAATGTAACTTTGCTGTGTGAGACGGCCATATTGCCTCTACTGGTGTCATTGCTCCTCAGAAAGCACAGCGCCTGCTCTCAACTCTTGCACTATACATCCCCAGCCAGGCTGTCTGTAAGTACCAGCGTGCATGCATGCATGTGTGTGTAAGAGTGCTTTCAGCGGGCTTCATTTGTATTCTAAGTCAAGCAGGCAGGCAGGGTTCTGGCAGGGCCCGGAGCTGTGAAATGGGCTCTCCTTGCATTTCTTCCGTTGATTGGATCAACCTATCCCACTCTACTTAGCCGAAGGGAGCCCAAATCCCACAGCCGCTGCGCCGTTCTGTGAAATCCTATTTCATTTCACAACTTTAACGGATAAAAAAGCGTGCACACGCACTTGTGCCAGCCCAAGACCCCATGCCACATTTATTTAGCCGAACAGGAGCAGAGAGAAAGCAGTGCATGTGGTGTGTGGAAACACTTAAATGCACGCACATATAGTCTCACCCTCCTGTAAATATAATCACCTGCACGTATACATATATGTGCATTTTCTCCACGCCCATGTGCTCTATGCCTCGCGCACAAACACACAACACGCACGCACAGACCAACGCACACGTGCATGCAACTTACGCAGACACAAACCCCATAATAAGAGCCAGACATTGGCAGACCACACAGCCCTGAGTTGTGGTGAAAACAAAGGCTATTCATATCCTTCGCAATGAGAGGTCTGTACAGCTAACTCTCTTTCTCCCTCGCTCCCCCGTCTCTCCCCGCAGCTTTTTATTACAGATAATCTGCACTCGCAAACCTTCCATTTTTCTGCAATTGTGCGATTTCTAATCATCTTTATTAGTCCATAAACATGTTTTTTTTTTAAAATGTAGTCTCTTTTTATAGCTGAGGCCTCCAGCTCCTTACGGGGGCAACACAGTGCCCATTGTTGAGTTTCAAGAAGAGGACGAAGCCAGGAACGGAGTGAGAGAGGCCTGCTGATAAGACTGCAAAGCATTATGAGAATGGGATAGCAGAGTTTTTGGATGCATACATACACATGCATGATATACACACATCGCACACAGACACACACACAAGACAAAGTGCAATCACTCAAAGTCTACCAGGCGACATGTCTGTGATAATGAGACGATGTATCTGATTGGCTGGCACTCAGAATAATGGCCTGAATCCACGGCACCTGTGTGGGGGCCCGCACCAGCATGAGCCTGCCGACTACCAGAAAGAGGACCATAATGCATCAGGTGCGCTGGATCCCTGTAATTGGCTGTGCCTGGCCAGATACAAGGTCAGGTGCACAAGCAAGCCTCCTCTGATTGGCTGAGTCGGACCCAAAAAGCTGCGATTGGGGAAGAACTGTTTTTATTGGCTGCCACTGCCTCATTCTGCTGGTGAATGGGTGTCTGGCAGGATGGCATGGGGAGAACTGGTTCAACTGGGAGTATGTGAGGACACATACTGAATGTTTGAGAATATCTTACTTACAAAAATCACAACTTTACTCATACCTTAACTTGACCCGGTGAGCTCTTTAAAACAATGCAAAAAGCAACTGCACTGCAACAATACAATTTGCTCTCATTTTATATTAACCAACCAACAAAGAGGAGTTTAAATGCCCTCTTTATGTCGTCAGCCAAGGAAACAGGTGTTGATGAACCACAATCCCATTGTGCAACAGTGAATAACATGAAGCTAATGAATGGCTAAGCTCTGTACCTGCCACTGGGGAGGCCAGAACATACTGACTCCCTTTGTAGTAAACCCCAAAAAAACTCCAGGCCCCCAAACACTTTCTCCTGCAGCAGTGTATGAATTATATATTGTACTATATATATAGAGCATATGCCCGGCCCATATGGCCAGCCCTAAGCGAAAAAATCTCAAAGCCCTCCTTAATTAACATTTTAGAGGGAAGATTCGGAGGCGGGAGATTGAGTCAGTGACCTATTTGGAGTCCATCATCGCCCAATGCAAATGTGTTAATTGAGACAGATTTTCGCACTCCAAAAATATATGGAGTAGGGGATGCAATGGAGATTTTTTTGTTGTCTGCGCCATCTGATCTAAGGTAGGGCTATAGGATGTGTTTGAAAATGCTATTCCTGCTGCCTACACTGACAAAAGAAGACAATTTCTCCCTCACTATCTCACACAGTCTTCCCTTGGCTCGCTCTCTATGTATCTCTCTATCTCTGGGTATATGTGTTGACGACCATATGGCCAAATTCTTTGGAGGTGAGATCTCCGAAACCTGCTCATACACTCACACGTGTACTCTCACACACACACCTCCACAGCGCTTTGTGTATGAAAGGCCCTGATGGTGGAATTTGTTCTCAGATGGCTCCATTTTAAAGCACATGAATGGCAACATATCAATGATCCTCCTCTCTGTCTTTCTGTCTCTCTGAATTTCCCATTTGCAGTTCTACACAAACACACACACACTCAAACACTAATTCACCAACTACACACCAAAAACGTACACTGCAAGCACACCTGGTGCAGTCCTACTCGTTTCCAGAAAGCATTTATTCTGGCTGCTGCACAATCATCTACCACAAGCACTGTTGCCGCTGTCAGTCCATCTTTTAAAAACCATAATTATTATCACCACCATTGTGTCTTATCATAATGATTTGGTGCCTGAAAATAGCACTGCCAAGTTTAAGGCACAGGATGAGAATCGGGGGGGGATGGGGAGAAAGAAGGAGCGAGTCCAGCCAACCTGCGTGAGATGGCAACCACTTCAAAGACACCGGGCCGCACCGGCGATCTGTTCACGGTGTGTGAGGGGTGTATGAAAGGCAGAAATGGCCGCCGTGTGAGTCCCTGCCAAAGCTACCTCGGGGAGAAATGTTGGAAAAATACGATTTTTCACACAGCCGTCTCAGGGGGGGTGAAGGGAAAACGGGGAGAATAAGAAAGAAGATGAGAAACTGGGGGGGCTGCATTAAAAAAAGAAGGATAGATGGATCGCTGAGCAGAGTGGGGCTAATTATTTCACTCCACTTGTGAGTCCTGAAGGTTTTGTTGGGTCAGAAGTACAGCCAAGATGCAGTGCTGAAGATTGCATTTGGCTTAATTGTGCAGTTGTGTTTACCACAACACTAAACGGTGGGATTTTGGATTATGCATGAGGCACACTGTGTTAACTGTTTCTGTAAAGCAGGCCTGACTGTAGGAGGTAGCAGTTAAACATTCTTCCAGATTACTTGGGCAAAAAACCTTTTAGGTATGCAGGAAATACTACCTTTAGTGGTACAAATCAATCAATCATATGCATTACAGTATATGCAAATTAGCTGGGTGAGGTTGACACCTTTAAATGCCTGAGAAATAGAAAGTAACTATGACAGACTAAACAATAGCTGTCCCAATTCCATGTACAAAAAAAACCCTCCTTTCAACAAAACTGTACGGTGAAACAAGTTTATACAGTGCGCACATTCTGACACACCCTGAGATTAATTGGGCCTGGCATCTCGCCTGTCAACTACTGATATTGCTCGACAGGCTGGCTTTCAGATAAACACCATGCCAATTGTAACACTGAACTTCCTGGGCTGCAACATTTCGCTGCCACACCATACTCCACCTCGGTACACAGGTAACCCAACGCGACTGGCAACCCTTTTCCTACATGTATCCTTATTCATGCTTTTTGAATGGCCGAACCACAGTTAAGGCCTCGCCGCAGGGGCTATGCTTTTAACAATGAGGTTTGGGCTGGTACAATCAGCCCTTTGTGTCACACAAGGTCTGATCCGTGGGGAGATTTACTTGGTTATGGTTCTAATACAGCAGAGTTTACCACAAAGGCCAGCATAGAGTTACATTACAAAACACTCACACGCGCATTTACTATGACTCAAAAAGGCAACGTGTTGGGCCCCTTTCAAATTTCTCACCCACTTCGAACTATGTTACTCCAAAAAATGCATTTAATAACATGGTACGGTTCACGCCTACCTCCTAGCTTGGCACCAATAACTTATTGGCTTTGTTTGACTGACAGGTTCTGTGGTTGGCAGGTTTTCTCCACCGCAATTCAACCAAATGTGAAATTATAGCAGAGAATCCAAACAAAGTGAGCATTATAATATCACTGCCAATGTTTCGCTCACCTTTAGAAGGCCTGACATGTGACATTTTGAACTGTTTGAGGCCTGTTGGTGTTGTTGTGCAGGTCTGACTGGGTGCTACATCATCACAAACATTTTTGGCAGGTGACCCTATAATAAAGTTATTAATCCTTCGCCAATATTTAAAATGTTTGAAAACAGGTATTCACATGGTTTGATTAAGTGTTATTTATTTAGGGCTGGTTGGTGGGAATAAATGAGGAGATGCAGACTTAATGAAAACTCGTCATACATGCCTTTAATCATTTTCAGTAATGATGACACGGAACATGACCTTTAGTCTAAATGTAAGCTAATGTTTTCTGGACAATATATAAAATATACATATATATAAAACCTCAAGCAGATAAAATGATTAATGATTAAGTCCTCAGGCAATTAATAAAATGAAATAATATCAATATAATATCAACATGCAAGCAGTTATCATTCGCATAAGCTGCATACAATGAGAGAACTTTTCTCTGAATTTGCATATTATTTGCTACATTGCTGCAGTTTTGTGATGTTTTTTATATTGTGTATTATCTTTATTAGTTTACAAAAGACAAAAGCGTTAAAAATGTTTGAATACTATGTAATATACATGTACAGGTCCAACCTCAAATATCCTACCGGGCTATTGAATAGCAGTAATATCATTAACATGCACAGTGAGAATGCTTGGTCAAGTGTTTAAAGAGCCTCATTGTCGCTTCAAAAGGAATATTGTGTTTCTAAAAAAATCTGAATTTTTACTGACATGTGTATACTGTTTTTATCCCCTTTGATGTGTTGTACATCTGTGTTTCTGCAAAACTTCACATCATTGGAATATTTTCTGTGCATCTACCTTTGTTATTTTATGACACATTAACAGTAATTTCTTGGGTTTATAATGAAGATCAATTATAATGTAGGTCCCAATTTTAGGCCATTATAATTATAATTTGAGGTCATTATAATTCAAAAGCTTTGAACTGCAACATGATAGAGATTTTTTGATGTCAATGAATTGTTCGAGTAATCTGATGAAAAGAACGCACCTGCTATACAAACAGATAAGTCAAGCAGAAAATGAAATATAATATATATTGGTCTTAATTCTACAAGGTTACAAATATATTTTGATCATCACCATGCAACCAGATATTCTTTGGATTTTCTGATCATGATTAAATGATACGGAGGTGCTCTCATTCATGCTGTTTTGCACTTGCTCTGGGCACAAAGACAGCCTGTGTGCCACCTCAGATCCCCACCCCCTTGTAGTCGCTATAAAGAGTCATCAACTACGCAAATGAAGTGCCCATTGACAAAAAACTAAACAAAAAAAGGAAAATACTAGCAGCCACCTCAGGTAGAAAAGATAGTCCGTGTGCAAGGTGGAACACGGTGGTGGAACACGGTGGAGCAACCATGCGCCACACGGATTCGTGATATACCTTCAGAATACCATCATCATAATAATATTGATATATATTGCACATATAGGCCTATGCTGGGCTTTCAGATCTCCGCAGTCTGCGGACGCAATGTGTGTTTTATTCTGTTTGATCTGAGCTGCGCAGGAAGATCATGCTCCACTTTGTCAATCTGGATTTACTGGGCCACTCAAACGCCTCTGCAAATAAATTCAGCCTGCACAATGTTAACCATCCAAGGCAAAATCAGATTGAATTAGGAAAAATATGTTTTATATTATACCAGAGAATTATTAAAACGTTAGTATGACTTTAGGTAAGGTTTAGGCAAAATTAAGTGCAAGGAAAAGCAGTATAAGGAAAATTCATTAAAAATATTACGATACATTTTAAAGATATAAAATATAGAGCTGCATAAACCTGCTTCGTTGTAGTTGATAAAGTCATAAGGACAGTCATCTTACTAGATGTTGGTCTTATTGTGGTTAATTAATGAGTTTAAATGCTTCATAATTATCTAAATTGGCAAGCAAGTAGGTGAATATAAACATAATACACACACTCCCCCTCTCTCGCACACGCACACGCAACCACACACACACACACACACACACACACACACACAACACACCAACACACACACACACACACACACACACACACACACACACACACACACACACACCCACAGGTGCGTTGTATCGTCATATATGGCCTCATACACACCACAGCCAAATCTCGCTCCGCGCGTCCAACAAAGTGCGGATCTCCTACAAAGAAATTAAAAGCCCTAAACTAACCGCGGGGATTCCGTTAAACACAAGCAATGTTTGGTTTATGTTCAGTCCTATAGACTTTACCCTATAGAGCAAACAGAGGGAAACTATTGAGTTACACAGCACGTACCATTATAGCGTGGGGAGATCTGCCAACCCTCTCAATGCCCCATTTTCCTTTAAAAGTTCAGCTTCCAAAAAAGTGAGAGAGGGAGTGCGGGCTGAGGGAGGAAGACTTGGTCTCTTCACTGTTGCCGGAAGCAAAAAAAGGACCTTTAAACAAGTCGGCCTTAGGCCCAGATAGAAAAACAGTCTCTTTCAAAAGTGGGTCCACTCTGCAAGAGATAGCAGGAAAAGAGGACAGCAGTTCCGAGCCCTCCGTCTACCGCAGTCTGGCCTCAGATGCGCCCATGTCCAGCAGCAAGAAGTCAGAGAGACGTCTGCGCCAAAGTCCCGAGGTGCGTCCTTCAGCGGCCAAACTTGCAGATTGGGTTACGCTTAAAAAAACAACTCCCCGAAATAATATGAATAACTCGATAAAAAATGCTGGACGGGAGAGTTGATGCAAAGTAAGTTCTGTTTATATTATTTTTTCCGTGTGCAACCCTTGCAGTCGGGCAGCTTCTGTCTCCAAAACGTGTCCAAAAGCGGCTGTCTCCCGCGCCGCGCGTCCGATCTGTTTTACCCTCGTATCTCTCTCTCTCTCTCTTTTCCTCCCTCTCTCTCTCTCTCTCTCTCTCTCTCCTCTCCTCTCTCTTGTTCCAAACACACACACGCGGAGTTACACACAAACGGGGGGACACCCCTGGTCCCTCGCCGCCTCCTCCTCAAAGCTGACGAGATGAAAGAGCAGCTTGCGTTTTTCGCTTCTTCAGATCGCGGCAGCCTCGCAGATAGCAGAATGCCTGCACAGCGACACGTCGTCGTTCCGGGCTTTCGCCGCTGCTCGGTGCGTAAAATGGAAGCTTCTCTCTCCTTGCGCTCCGGCAGATAGCTCACACTTCCCTCCCCGAAAAAATATCAGCCATTAAATAGCTCACCTCAGCAGTCCTGTTTACACACAGACACACACACACACACACACAGAGAAAAACAATAGACCAGGAATTAGGGCAGTTGTTTACAGTGAAGGTGGGGGTGCTTCAGCCGGCAGCGTGGAACTGAATCATTAGGTAAATTATTAATAAAGCGAGCGGTGTGCAGTCTGTCGCGGAGAGAGTGGAGCGGCCAGGGGAGCAGCTGGGGCTTTGGGAGAATTAGGAGGACCAGGGGCTAAATCACGGACGGCGGGGATTAGGGCTGCACTGGCTCCTACCTACCGCCTGCATGTACTGTAGGCTGAGAGAGGGGCACTGTGGGCACGACCCGAGCCTCAGTTTGATTTCCGTAGTTTTCAATGGCACAATCTGGAGCAAAGATCAAGATAATAAAAAGAAAGGTTCATGGGTTTTATGAGTTAATTTAAGGATATACGCTGTGCCAGCGATCTCTCCGGTTCCATGCAGCTGATCACATTCACCAAAATTAAAAATATAAGAATCATTTGTCAGATAGCAGTGTAACCCCAGAAGTTAATATGAGGGGGTTCATGGGTTTTTTGAACTGACTGTACTTAAGTTAAATGTAGTCTGTTAATACCGTTAGTCGAAATGGTGGGTAACGGTAATGGCAATGATGGAATAGCACCACTTTAAAGCTGTTTTATATAAAACACTTCACTTACACAGATTTATTGTCACAGTGTCGCCCAACAGAATGACGCAGTGAAGCAACAGGATTACATGTGGCTGAGATTGTACAGACTACAGACATATTGGGAGCTATTAAAAGGTCTGACTTTTGGGAAATAGCTGGAGAGCTCAAAATGTGCTGTTTCTTATAAAAGTGCTGATAGTTGTTGGAGACTATAGAGGCCAGGAGCAGCAGAAGCCAGGAGCAGCAGAGCCTTCCAAGACAACAGAAAGACAAGACATGTAGACATGATCTGTGGTTAGTTAGGAGAAGGGCCAAAGGAAGTTCAAAATGTTAGTGGAGTTTTCAATTACATCAGTGAGTAATTTAAAAAACCTGTCCTTTCCCTGGCATCACGACCATAAAGCTACGTTTTGATTTAGTGGCCAAGACGGACCTGCGCTTAGGGGAATGGCGCAAAAAAAAAGAAAATAGCAACAGAAAATGTCATCAAATAACCCCAAAACGAAAAAACACTACTACTTTTTCTTTACCATGATTAACTAAAATATAAAAACAGGTTGAGAGCCGATCGTGCAGCACTTGTTTGTACATCTAAAAGGCTAATCACGTTTGTGTTCTTTTTACGTTAGGCCCTGCTTCACAAATTGAAAACTAGGCTTTAACCCAAAAAAAACACTATATATTTTCGCTAGTTTGGTTAAGTAAAATTGATTATTGTTCTCTCAGCATAGAGCGGTTGTATATCTGCATGTACAATGTATTTATTTAAAGTTGTGCGTGTGTCGTTATCCGCCTCTTTCTAAAATCAGACGTCTAAGGACATTCCTCCAACATGACGGTTTATCAATAATTAAATGTTGACCTCCCCACACATTTGGCCACATCAATTATTCATTTGTAATTGAATTTGTGATTTAAGTTTTAGCCTAATTTTATTATCCTATGTACCACGACAGTGTATCTATGGTGGGACGAAGTGAGGATTTTTTGCGTTTTAAAAATTAATTAGAGGTGACGGAGGCCGGGTGGCCCATTTCAACAGCAGAGCTCAAGTCGTTTTTACTTATCATTTTACTTATGTGAGAGACTTTGGAATATATTTCGATTTTATTTTGAACATTTTTATTTCTTAATATATCTTATTCATTTCTTAAACAAATATGACTACATGAAATAGCATACGTTCAAACAATAGTAGCCTATAGTATACATTTTTGGGTGGAACGTAGCCCATCAAATCCGAAAATTGTGAATTTGTATTGTTTTAAAAATCATTGTTATCTTCTGCAGATGTGATTATAGTAAGATTAACTCTGGTCATTAGTTGGGATATAAAACAAACTAGGCTACAAGTTGTTGTAGTGATACATTATATATTGATAAATGATGAAACAATTACTGGGTGGGTGAAGGGATGAACGTTAATACGAAAAATGATCACTTTAACACGAAATATTAAAAAACCTATAACCATCAAAAGCACTGATAGTAGTCAGTGAAAACAAATTACACACACAATAATAATAATAATATTAATATTAATAATAATGATTCTGAACATAATACAGCCTAATCCATACTCTTACAGGTGATGTTTTACTGATTGAATGAGATCAGCTTTAAGCAGTTGTATAATGTTCACAGATTATACCATGACCTTCCGAAATGTTTTTTTTTTGTTTTTTGGTTTGATTGTTAATTCTGGTGACTTATTACAGATGCTGATGACTGGGAGGCTCACACATGCCCGACGGCCTGTTTGGAGAATGACCAGTCGATTGGAAAAATACCAAAGTGTTCCTCTAAACCCCAAATAATCCTACTACACGATTTTTTTCCTAACCTTTAATTAATTTACAAATAACAGTGTGAACAGATAGAGCGCACAGTGTACTCAGCACGAGATACTAAAGCCCGGAAGTTGCAGAAGGCCACACAGACTTCCTGCAAATTGCAGGTACCAAAGAGAAAGAAAGGATAAAATCGAGCAAGTAAAAAATCTGCATCAAAGTTTTCCATTGGAAAATCGAAAAGAACCTTACAACCACAGTCCGGCGGTTTACTGTTATACAAACTGATCACATTTTCAGTTGGAGGCTTTTTTTTCATTAAAAAAAGGCCCGCAAACACATTTAAAAAAAGAAAAACAAGCAGGGCAAAAAATACATCTTGCCCGTTACCAGCATTTACCTGCAAAACACACCCTTGGGGAAAGTGCGCAGAAAACTAACTAAGACAAACAAATTGTCCAATAATAACAAAATGTCACATAATCGCGTTATATTATTAATAGGATACAATTATCACTTGGAGGATTTTCTAAGAATATGCCCACAATTAAAACAGTATCACACGTTGAACTGCATTTCAATTTACAATAAAATCGCGAAATCCCTATTAATTATTAAAGTATGGACTACAAAGTGTGAAGTTGTTTGTTAAAACGAGTATAAGGTTTCATTTAAACCCAAGGCCTTTTTCATTGAATTTGCTAATGAACAATCTGCACACTAAATCATTAATGCAACTAGAGGAAACATTTGTTTTTCAATGTGGCTTAAATAATAATTTATACTCCCTTGTCCTGATGCTGATGCACCATATGCTTATAGCAGTTGACCTCCTTTCAAATAGGCAATCATTCCCATGTTTTTTCTTAAAATAATGTTGATGAAAATGTGGTCTGCTTGTCTAAAATCTAACTTGATCCTCCTAAAAATGAAACCATTTGGGTTTACAACATCTAAACCACCACCACTGTTTATATGGCTGTATTTTGTGGAAACTCTGACACAACAATAAAACCACTCAAATGTTTTTTTTGGCATAAACCCTTTAATTATATTATCAAAACAAAAGAAAAAAGAAAAAGCTCTTTTAAAGTTTCTTGGAAGAGAATCTAAAAAAAATCAGAAAAATGAATTCAATTGAGATGTTCTGAAAGTTACAAAAACAAACTGGAGGAAATTAGTTGGCATGCATCGGCTCTGATCATGTAAAGCAACCTAAAAGCGTCAATTAGGCAGAGCTTTGGGTAAATAAAAGCCCTGAGCGGTGTATCTCACCACAGACCCTCAAACCAGCCATTAGTGCAGACCACAACGCCTCTGATAGCACACTGTTTTAAGACCCAGCATTATGTGGGCAATAAGTTCCACAAACCTCACTGCGAGAGGAGAAGAGCACTAGACTGGCAAGTTCAGACAACATGCAGAAAAGAAGAAAATACCCTCAAAACTACAGTATTTCTTTTAAATATCCCTGGTTGGAATATAACTTCAATCTGCGGTCGACATGTTGAAAACTAATTATCATAGGTGAGACCAGGTGATAAATGGCTGGTGATGAATTGTAGCAGATAAATATTCCCTTATCAAAGATGGACTTGGCACAGACTCATGTTTAAAAGTTCAGAGGGAGAGCCATGTGAACTTTAACCAACAGGAACAGATTTCATCAAATAAATGATTAAATATTGAAGCGTTTAAAAAAGGTTATACAAAGAATCATCTCTGATCTTTTTTAAATAGTTGGCTTTTAAGAGATTAAATCATTCAAACAGCTGTTTGGCTCACTCCTCTATAGCCCTTTAATTGTCGTTTCTGGATTCTCGACGCTCTGATTTGTGAAATGATTTCTTATCACAAGTGAGGATGGTGACACGTGAAGCAATAGCTGAGGGTAAGAAAAAGGCAAAAATCTCTGTAAGACTAAACAATACTCCTTAAAACAATCTAAAACAGCCGAAAACAAGGGATAAGTAAATCTCAGCTCACACAGCTTCATTGACAAAATGCAAATATTCTATCTACAATTTTACCAATGTAACTACCATGTCCTTACAAGATATCAAAAGGAGCTTTGAAGGGTCTTCAAAAAGATGTACAAAATAAAGAAAAGCAAATTAAGAAGAATTTAGTGACTAATATACCTAAATGATAAGCCACATTTTAGTCCATGCCATCAGGAACACTACAAAGCTACAAAATAGTACACTCAAAATAAAAAGCAAAGGCCTCAGTCCTGCTGCCACTCACTCCAGTAACACCACTGACTCCCAGCATGCTCTCACTGCCCTCTGCTGCAGTGATGTCAAAGGAAAATTAAATATTCCACCTTTAACAAAATATATACTCTGCACCATGACCATATGTAGAGCTCAGTGGAACAATTTTTTCTCTCAACAATCTTCATTCCTCTCCCCGCTGAAAGAAATGGCCCGGAGAATTCTGCGTCTCTCTGCGAAAAGTGCATTAGGCGGAGGGGAAAGGAAAGGAAAAAACAAGGCTCTTTTTGTCTGCAGCAGCCGAGGTTTTATCCCTGCATTGCCGAGTGTTGTCTAGCATTACAAATCTCAGGCCGGGCCTGGATGGACACAGGAGGGCTCTGCTGGCCTGCTCTCACTGTCTGCTGCCTTTACACTCTGCCATGCAAATAAACCCAAATGAGAGAGCAGCTGAGGAGGGAGAGCGAAGGAGATTGAGGGTTTGTTGGAGGGAAAAAAAGATGGAAGGAAGGAAAGGGGTGAGGATAGGGCGGCTGTAAAAAGGAAATGAAGAAATGTATGTGGAAAGTAAGGAAGGAAGGAAATGGTTGGTCTGAAGTAGTTGCATAGGACAAAAAGAGAGAAAAAATCTGTGTGTGTTTGAGACAGAAAGAAAGAGAAAAAGAGTGGGTACTAACCGGCCGTTGGAGGGGTGAGGAATGCCCGGCCCTGGCACAGGAGAGTGGGACGGAGGGTGGAGTATGTTCACATTGCTGCTGCCAGCTGAGCACATTCCCAACACACAGTCATGGAGACTTTTTAACCTACAGATACAGAAGCAGCAGCAGCACAAGAGTTTTCTCACTGAGGAACAAAAATACAGGACCTACTGTAGGATTTATTTTCTGAAGCGCTGTAGAACAAGGCCTCTAAAATGACTCAAAGTGATGGTAAAAGTCATCTGCAGGGGGCAAAACAGAAATGTAGAAGATATATTATTTTATTCAGATTCTTTTTTGGGACATTTTTGTCTTTTTAATTCAGAGCTTAACAGCAGATGTAAACAGAAAGTAGACGGGAAACTATGAGAGTCCACATATTTTCTGATAAGATAGAGGTAAAAAAAAATGTTTTACTTAAAAAACGAGGGTTATCTACTTCCTTTAGTAGTGTTTAAATAGTTTGAATACATTGCACATATTGGCAGGTATAGCAATCTGTTTGACATATTGTATACATCATCTAAAACACATTCCTGACAGCATCTTTTAAAGTCTTTATAAAAGACATGAATTGGCTAAATAATATTTTCATTGATTGTATGAAAATGTCAAATATATATTTTAAATGTCTTCTAGTTAAATGTAAATAATAAAAACATGTGTGTATCAGCTAATAATTTGGAAAATTACAATTTAGAGGTACTTTTATTTTACTATAGTACTCTTTTTTTATGCTACTTTACACTTCTTTGTCACAATGTACTTTTTACTCCAAAACATTTATCGGACAGACACTAGCTACCGGGCATATTAATATTTGACATAATTAACTTTTGATTATTTTATACAATACGATAATATATTGTTATAGACTAAACTACCGAACCGTATACAGCTACTGCCTTGCCAATATACAATATTAAAATGCTGCTCAAATGTATATATTTGTACAATATAATACACTAATTTATCTTTTTACTTTAGCTAATAATACTTTTGACAATGAGTGTTGTTACATTGTAATATTTATTTAAGCACAAGGAACTAAATACTTCTTTCCCCACTGTTCACATTACTTCAATGTTTTGATGAGTGGTAAACCACACTGATAATGAAAAAAAAAACGTGAAGAAAATGACGAGCCGTTTGTCTTTCTAATAATTATTCAATTTTCCTAGAATTTCTCTGAGGGGTGTAATACGTGCACAAGTGTCTTGTCTTTCACTCAATGGTTTATCAATAGCTAACATTAGGCTCAGCTTTGATAACACACACATGCACACACACACAGTTTAACTGATAAAGCATGAGCTACATTTTGAATCAGATATTTCATATAAAACAAATGTCGACAGCAATCCAACATTTGTTTTATTTAATGACATTTAAGTACTGTTAAAAGTATAACTATGCAACTATTTTTATATTTAAGTACAGTGCAGAGAATCTGTATTTTAAAAGTTAAACAAATAATTGATGACTCAAAAGTTATGGTCAGATTAACCATTTAAGAAGAGAATTCTTAGATGCAGCCCTAGTATAAAATAATAATGATAATATTTGCATCATTGTATATTCTTTTTGTTGTATTATTCTCATTAATATTATTGTATACTGTTAAGAGATTCATAACTTATTGAACACACAACCTGCTCTCAAGGACACAAAGACACACTGCGGCCTGTATTTGTGTGACACTCCCTGACATCATTTTTCTTTGTGTCGCTAACAGTTAGCAAACGTGACCTGATGTGAGGTCAGCTAAACTGCAGCACACACAGCGGCCATTGTGTCTCCGCTTCTCCACCCACTCTGAGCGGGCACCACTTCAGCACCGACGGGGTTTGTTTTGGGCCGGGCAGGTCCAGTGTAAAAGTGAGTTCGTTTTATGTTAGGGTGGAGAGGAGGAGGGCGGTTGAATGGAGGTTGTGTGTGCATGTGTGTGCATGTGTGTGTGTGTGTGTGTGTGTGTGTGTGTGTGTGTGTGTGTGTGTGTGTGTGTGTGTGTGTGTGTGTGCGTGCGTGCGCGGTGGCGTGTGCGTGTGTGTGTGTGTGCATGTGTGTGCGTGTGTGTGCGTGTGTGTGCGTGTGTGTGTGTGTGTGTGTGTGTGTGTGTGTGTGTGTGTGTGTGTGTGTGTGGGTGTGTGTGTGCGTGTGCGTGTGTGTGTGTATGTGCTCCCCCAGGAGAAAAGAGGACTCCTAATCTGTTTTCCTGGCTCTTCTTTAAAGGGAGAGCAAGACACACTAGAGGCTCCCTCTGATCTGCTGCCCCATCCATCCCTCACTTTCTCTCTCTCTCCTCCATCCCTCCTTTCCTCGCCTCCATCATCTGTCTCTCGTTCCCTCTGCTTTTAGCCCTCGTTTTCTCGGCCCCCCGTCCCTATGCTCTCTCATCTGTTGTGTTGGCCCGCTCTGGTCTTTGTATGGCGACAGCCCCATCTCCAGATACTGCCTAAGAGCTCTGATTCCACTTAATCGCTCAGTTTTTTATTAGTTTTCCCTCGCAGGGTATTTTGTGTTCTGAATTGCGTTTATCTATTATGCTGTTTCAGATTTATTGCTTTAGGAGGCAGACTGTGTGGCACACTACCCACCAATACGGTACACGATGCTGTGATCTCTCTACGTCTGCCCCTCTTTATGCCTGTCTGCTTTCATCCCTTCAAAATTAAATGAACAAATACACAAGGAGGATCCTGTGCCACACTCGCTCACTCATACTTTTTCTCTTTTACTTTTGTATTAGTTTTCTTTTATTGGGAGTCTCAAGCTCTCGGCTGCATTTATTTAGCATGCAGCAAAGACCACAGGGGAAGCGTGTGTGGCAGCAATTTTTCGGATTGGTACTCTTCTCTTGGATCCATCTGTCCTGGCATCATTTGCGACTCATTGCTTTACTTTTCCAATTTCACAAAAAAAAATGAAACTCACAGGTATGGGTTCCTCTGTGAGCACAGATGTCTGCCTTTGAAAGATTTTCTGAGATTAGCAGAATACTTAAAGCGGCTTAGTAATGACTGTGGCACCTTTAAATGACATTGTGTTCTGAAAGGGCAAAAATATACGGTTTAATATTCATTAATTGTGCGCTATTAAGGATTTGTAGCAAACAAACACTGATGCTCAGGTCATTTTGTCGCCATGGATTTTCCAATCAGTCTGAACTGTTTATTTCTACTTAACCACAAGACATGGCAGGCATTCTCAAAATATTTTTGCCCCAAAATGGCGGCATACCATCCCGGCCCTCCATTTTGTTCTCTCACTGACTCGAGTCTGGATCCTGCACCTGACTTGTTGGACCAGTGTTTGCATTTGAAAATACCCTCTCTCGTGCCCCGCTGTTACTATGCATGCCTCTTCTAGTTATTGGTGACCACGAGTGTCGTTAACCTGCTGCACCAATGGGAAGGCCTGCTCTGACTGATGTCCCCTCCTTCTCCACTCTGCTTCCAGGGGCTTCCTGTGACCGGGGGGGAAACATGGGCGCTGGCCATCACCTCGACCGAATCCAGAACCAAATGAGATGGAGACTCTGAGACACAGAGGGATAGAGGAAATAGAAACAGAAACAAAGAGTGAGGGAGGATGCAATAAAATACATTTGATTTCCTGAAATGATAATCAAGACAAAAAAACAAAAACATGTAGACGACCATGTGGACAGAAATAGCTAATTTTTAAGATGATAAAAGACAAAAAGAAATATCAATATTCATGACCCTGTCCCTTCCATCCAAATTCAGCACCCTCCCTTCTCCCTCCCCACCCAAATCCTCCCTCCTCCTCCTCCTCACTTCCTCTCCCCTCCATTGGGTGGCAACACTTGGTAGGGCACATGGTGAGACAGCTGTTGCAGGGCAACATGGGCATCTGTGGTGCTACATAGAGGAGAGGGAATAGTACGGGGGGTGTGGGGGGGTGTTTGTAGGGGGCGCAGACGGCATCAAGAGAAGGAGATAGTACCCAGTCTCTGTCCTGTGTACATATGTGTTTGTGTTTGAGTGTGTCCTAAAGTTTCAGGGATTATCATTGGCTTTATGGGGAGAGGTGGAGAGGTGTTTTGGGGACAGACAAGAGAGAGAGAAGTGTGAGAGAAGGAACAAGAAGGCATCTCTTCTTCTTCTTCTACTATGCCAAGCTGTTGATGAAAAGTAGCACCTGTCCTCAAAGCTATGACAGAACCAACATTACCATAAGAACACTGGGATGGGCCGCTCTAAGATGAGTTACTGCCACACACACACACACACACACACACACACACACACACACACACACACACACACACACACACACACACACACACACACACACACACACACACACACACACACACACACACACCCAACCACACACACACACACACACACACACACACACACACACACACACACACACACACACACACACACACACACACACACACACACACACACACTCTGTCTTTCACACACATACGCATACTACAACCCCCCCCCTCTCTTCAGAGGGAATGGGCGTTTTCCCAGGGTTATTATCACATGCCAGGTGCCCCCCCCCTCTCCCTTCATATACACTCACATACACCTCACCCCCACCCATTCCTCTCCCAGTACCTACCATACACCCTTGCCATTTCTCTCTCCCCCAAAGCGCCAGCGCAGCCCCACCTCATGGTGCCAAAGTGGGCAGCCTCTGCCTTGGCGTAGCCTGGGCCTTCTGGTGCCCTAGATAGCTGTGTGTGTGTGTGTGTGTGTTTGTGTGCGTGTGTGTTCGTGAGCACTGGCCCAGCTCTGTGCGGACACAGCCAGCCCTTTAAACTGTGTCAAGGCTCCAGATGCTGGGAGAGACTGGGATTAACACAGGCGTTTGTATACAGACACATACGTACAAACAGATATTCTCTCAGCCCATATATTGCATCATACTTTACATGTTTTGACCAAATCCTGAGTAAGTGTTATGGATAAGGAAATGTAAAGGGATGATAGGGAGAAAATCAAATATGGCAATATTGTTGACCAAATATCTTGATATAGCAGTGATATTGTAGGGTATATTATTGGTGCTTTCACAAAATCTTAACAAAATGGCTTTCTTGATTAATAATCATAGGTTATTTGGATACAATGCTGATGAAAGTGTGTACTTGAACAGACTTGTAAGTTCAGAAACACATCACTTTACTGTTATGTATTGTTTAAAAGCTGTAAAAGACACTTATACCTTATTACAACCAAAATCTAGGACTGTATCTAGTCTCATATTCCAATTTCATAAAATATAAATGTATTGTCCAGCCAAGGAACAAAACACAATACTTGTGCTTGCTTTATAATGCTTTTAGAAATAAATTCACTTTCAGAGCAGCACACAGCTACCCTTATACGGACCCTTTTTTTATAGTATTAATAAAAAAAGAACAGATCAAACACAGAAATATACGAAACCTGATACAAAGGTATCAGAGATCCGATGACGAACAAACAGACCCTGGCAGTGCTGAGATGATTCACTGATGCCAACACTGCACCTCAGAAAGTGCTTTTTGGATTAGGCAGACAGAGAAAAGGACCTCAGAGACCTGACATACACACACACACCCCAGTGTCCGTACACTAGCCCTTTAGCAGCATGCCACTACCCTGAGGGCATGAATGCACACGGTCACACACACACTGATATGCAAAGACACACACGAATACCAACCAAGTGTCCACCTACTGTTTCTTTAGTAGCGTGCCACTGCCCTCAGGGTGTGCACGTTTACACACAAAAATACATTCACACAGACACACACATTCCACTGGTGATACTGACATCACCGCAACTGAACTCATTGAAAAAGGACTGAAGTGATGTGAATGATAGCGAATTACCAAGACAGTCCCCCGCGAACTAGCAAAGGCTACAGACTGCTAATTACAAGTATGCAAGCATGTGTGTCCAAGTGTGTGAAAAAGAGAGTGTGAGGGAATGTTTTCTTGCAGTGCTCTCTCTCTCTCTCTCTGTCTTGCTGAGCAGTAGTTATGGTGCCAGTTATGGAGTGTTTGCCATTGCAGGGAGCTGCTTTGGCACCGTGCCCTAATTTAGGCGAATTAAAAAGCACTAGACAGGCCCCTTTGTGGCACCGTGCGCCCGCTTTAATCTCCCCACGCCTCAGCGGGCACCCACAGCACCAGGAGTGGGCACAGTGCCCACATGACCCCAGGCAATATGGAAATCGCCACCAAAAATCCTAACTAAGCACCGAGCCCTGCCCCTGGTGCACAGTGTACACAGTACACACAGACATGCGCAAATCGATGCTATCACACACACTCGCCCACATGGTGCAAGGGGTACAACACCCAGCTCACAATGGTGTTCTACTCACACACAGTTACTTACACATTAAAAACATGAGAAAAGTAATTGCAGGCTGTTCACATACAGCAGTTACATCTCTGAAATACACACATACAAACACACATGTGGTAGTTTCAGGGCGCAGCAGCATGAAATGAAATACACACGCTGTTGTCCCTGTTGTACACAAACTCACACATTCACTTTTCCAGTCATCCAAAGTTAGTGTGTGTTCTTTTTGAAGTGTAGGTGAGTGTAATGCTTGTCATGAGGTCATCCATCAGGGCTAATGAAACAGGCAGACCCTGACACCGTCTCACTGGGCAGCACCGCTGGCGCCACAAGCTAACTCAAGGAGAAATGGACTGATTTAATTACACAGCAAAAGCATGTACACACACACACAGGCACACTCACTCACACATAAACACACCTGAGCACATGTACACAGAGAGAACATGCCATGAACACATGCACACACACATACTTTGCATACAGGTACATAATGACTTTGCAATCCCCTACAGAAATACACACATTAAAAAGCCAAATGTAAGAGCGCACACAAACGACTCGCACACACACACGACTTGCAACACTCCATCAAAAATGTCCATTAGCCACTTCTTGCCAAAACCAAGGCCTGCCAGCTAGCCAACTGGTGCAACCTTTTAAAGTAGATGAAAAAATATGAATTCAACATGGATGTTAACCTTCGCTGGTAAAAAAGAACTGACTGCACCATCATGGTGATAATGAGTTGAGGTGGACGTGTTATCGGTAAAGAAAAACTCATTGAAGGCACCATTAGCGAGCAGGCTGCGCCACCACACTGCAGGTTCACAATGTTCCCTTCCCTAAAACAAAGACCCACTTTGGCCCTGGAACAGGACGCACTCCCATGCCTCTCTCTCTCTCCCTCCCTGTCCATTTGTCTCCCTACTGGTTTCACTTAATAAGCTTCAAAGGTTTCTGGGCAACGTGGCTTTCAAAAAAAAAAAAAAGTTACCATGGCATTTTTTTGGCACAGGGCATCTTCCCTCTTGCTGAGGATATGGGGTTGCCATGACACCGATGGGCACCTTATAAAGCATACAATTGTATAAGTGTGTGAGTGTGTGTGTGTGATGGACATTTTGTGCCAACCTCGGCTAAATGCTTAGACACTGGTAGGAAACCCAGGACAGCGGGAAAGCCGGTGACAGAGTTCAACTTTAAGCGCCAACTCAACTCAGACCACTATTCCCCCAATAACATAGAAACAAATAACCATCACAGTTCTTCAACATCCATGATGATGTTTTAAAAAAAATAGTTGTGTCAGTCCAAAACACAAAGGTATAGTTCAATATAAGACAAAATCTCAGTTTTGAGACTGAAAACAGAATTTTGCCAGAATGAAATACGATTAGTCAATTATTAAAAATACATGACGATTGTTTTTGGTACGGCGTCGTTGCAGCTCTACCTCCAACACACACAAATGCACACACTACTCTATTCTTTTACTATATTCTGTTCTCCTCGATGGATTTAATCCTACGGTTTTAATATTCTTTAAACTGTGTATCTGTGAACATAAAATAAAAAAAGCCTTTTTTTATTTTATGAACAATTATTCAATAATAAACTCAACAACAAAAGAACTGGGAGTAAACAGCATACATGCTTTTTCTCAAAGAACACTCTGTGTTTGTTTTGGTTAAACTTACCCCAGAGGCCCAAATCCAAATGCTAACTTTAAAATTGGCTTTGGATTTACACTGATGGTTAATGTTTTCTTGCTGGCATCTTTCTTTGTCCTTGCTAATGTCTGTGTGTGTGCATTTATTTAGTGCAATCCCATCCAAAGTAATTAACAGTAAGTGCAGAAGTAACTTGAAATAACTAATCAGCAGAATACACAATTAAAGAATGTGAAGGTATGAGCCACAGCCACATCCAAGGCTAATCATATTCTGAGTGTGTCTTTTGTATAAAAGTAATGACTGAAACTATAATCCTGTTTTCTCCCTGGTAGTCCAATAGTCCCTTGACCTCAAAGTTGTATTTGTGTAGTGAAACAACAGTTTTGTTTCAGCAGTCTCTGCAATTGAGGCTCCACTAATGTGAAATGAGTTTGAGCCGTGAACAACTGCAGCATGTTCCTAAAGTTGGCCAACTCTTCGCACACAGAGTTTGAATAAGGGCCGAATGACCAAAGCCCTTTCTTCCTTTTTTCATTTTTACATTTCTACTTTTTCCAGTA